TGTTATTAGCTACTGAAGTTTTTTTTTCAGACACTCATTGTAAAGAATTAGAAAAAATTCAGGGAAATTCAGAATTCGAAAATTAATTTGAATGTAATGTACCACTACAATGTACATTCTTCTTTGTTGACTTGAGAGGCTTGTTTTCACACATGGAACTATTTTTGTCTTTACTGTTATCAATATCTGTCTTCTGTTGTTCTGGACACATTATCGAAAAATCAGCAATCATTTCACTTATACCTTACAGTTCTTTGCATTATGTCCAGATTTCAGATAACAAAAAACATCTTTTGCCAAATAGAATTTTTAGTTCCTTGTGCAAAAAAACTGTAATCATGAAAAATTTCCAGTATCATATTTCAATGAAAATATACAATTTGACCATTCCTTTATCCATTTGGATAAATGTTTTGCATGACATCTATACATATACACAAAATGAAGGACTTTTTTTTATAATATTACATAGATTAATAGATGACATTAATAATATCTTGTCTAGAAGGCCATAATATAATGAAAACTGCATTTACTTTCAGTAAACAAACTCTACCAGTCATGTTATGTGGCAAAAAAAAAAAAAAAAAAAAAAAAAAATAATAATAATAATAATAATAAAATAATAAAAACCTTATAAGAGAAATAAAAACAAATTTAGTTTCAGTAACATGCAAGTTTGTTACAAGCTATGGTTGCACATAACCCTATCTTATGAGAGTAAAACATACTGTTGCCAATACACTGCAACTAAATATTGGCATCAAAAGATGTAGCTTGTCAACAGCCAATTGAGGGAATTCTATTTTGTCACAAAAGTAAAAACAAAAAACTTTGTATACATATTTTGCCAATTTTTCAGTAAATCTAATGGGGAAATTATAAAGAAATGACAAATATGATTTTCTTCTAATATGCTTTGCATAACTATTACTGATATTAATAAAATTATTATTAGTACAAATAATATTTTAACAAATACAATGTATCATTGTATGCTGTAGAGCAGGGATGTCAAACTCATAGGTACACTTGGGCCAAACAAACAAGGTTTAACTTTAGGCAGGCCGCAAAAAAAAAAAAAAAAATCAACATTCATAGAAACGTAGATTTATTTCGAATAATACAATAATAAACATATACAGTCAAAAGTCATTAATTCGGACACCCATAATCCGGACCTCAAAGCTAAAAACTTTCTGCGCTGCGCACAGACGTTTTACGCGTAAGACCTTGACTACTGCGCTTATGCGTGTGTGCAAGTGCAGAATACGTTTTCGCCTGCGCATTTAATGTATAACAGATGGTGTAAGCTAAAATTATCTAATTATCTATTTTCAGTTAATGTTGCATGATTGCATTGTTCCTTAATTCTTCGAGTTGGATCCGGCTTATTATTTTTTGCAGACTGTAAGAGCAATTTTATAAAAGTAAACTTGAACTTTCGATTATGTCAAATAGAATTTCCGATGCTGGAAGGAACTTCCAAAGGATCTACAAAACGAAAGTATGTTTCGATGTCCAACAAACAAAAAGTGGAATTGCTGCAAAAAATGGATAAAGACATGAAGAATGTGACAGAGAGGTTAGTGAAAACGAAAAAATTTCGATTGACAAGTTAGTCGGTATTCTCGGCACAGCAATTAACGGGACTTGAACAGCGGGACTTTTGTAACTGAAAAAAAAATTATGTCTGTTTATAGAATTAAAGAGAAAGTATTATCGCATAAAATGAAGCAACTTAAACAACTTACATTGAAAGAAATGTTTAATAAAGTAAACAAATAAATATTAAGCTTTTTTTTTTTTTTTTTGTAAATTTTGATACCCTTTAGATCATAATTGTTCTTTATTTCATAAATTATGGTTTCATATTTTTAATTTTAGAATTTCTGCATGCCATCTTACGAGATTTAAACTGATGATCTATAATCCGGAATCGCCGAAGTCCCGACGAGTCCGGATTAACGACTTTTGACTGTATATAGAAAAGAACAAGAAAAATTTAATGTTTACGTCCTGATACTTGACATCTCTTCTCTGCTATTATCTTTCCTATTTCGGGAGAAATTTTGTTTGCAGTGATAACTTTCAACGCTGACCAAAGGTGAGCATCATTAATAAGGTTTCTAATAGGAGACTTATTACCTTTCATGACTGAAAATAACTGCTCGCACCAATAAGTGCTACCAAACATGGAAATAATTTCATATGCGAATTTTCGAGTATTTTCAAACCTGGCTGGTAAATATTTGTAAAATTCAGGCACGCCCACTTCAATGAATTTTGCTTTCAAATTTGAGTTGCATTGAATCTCGATCCCCTTCATTTGCATATGGCTGGGTACTGAGTAAATACTTATTGAAAAAAATTGAAGAAAACAAAAAAAAAAAAAAAAAATTGTCTTCGAGGGAACTAAAACTATTAAACCTCGTTTCAAATTCAGTTGTTAAATTTGCAATTTTTTCTGCGTATTTTTGATACTAACAAGTATCATCTAAACTTGATTTGTTCATGCTGCACGTCGGGAAGTGCGTCAAATCTTCATTTTTAAGTTGCTTTTCCAAAAGAACTAGTTGACATTTGAATGCTTTAATTATGTCAAACATGTTAGTAATGATATGATCTTTTCCTTGTAACAATAAATTTAAATTGGTTAAGTGTTTTGTTATATCAACCAAGAAAGATAAATCTTGTATCCACATTGGATCGTAAACCAAACTTACGTCTTAATTTTTCGTTTTTAAAAACTGACATATTTCTTCTTTCAAATCTCAGAATTGTTTGAGAATCTTGGAGCAAGATAACCAACGTACCTCGGTATAGTAGGACAAACCCGAATATTCACTATCTAACTCACTTAAGAAAGCAGTGAATTGACATTGATTTAAATCTCGAGATCTTATAAAATTTATAACTTTTTTTATATATGACAAAACATTCTCCATATTTATTCTCCATATTCATATGGTGATGAAATCACCATCAGTAAAAGGCTTCGAATGTTTAGCTATCAACTCGGACAAGATGTAGCTTGCATGTACCGCCACTTCACTTTCTTGCAATACTTTACTAAACGGACTGTTGCTTTTCACTCCTAACTTGAGCTCTTTCAACTTTTTCTTCTCTCATTAATCCTTCGTAATTGTTATATTTCGATTTGTGTTGTTCGTAATGATGTTTAATATTATATAACTTTGGTACATTAATAGTATTATTACATATCAAGTAGATTATTTTATCTTTTATTTCACACGAAAAATATTCTAATTTCCATTTTACTTGGAATATTCTATGTTCGTCAGCAATTTTTCGTTTAATTTTACTACCACTAGGTTTTGATATAGACATACTGAATACAAAGGGCTGGAATAAACACGGTTAATGTTAAAAAGTTAACAAAAATTTATTCTTTCCACAAGAGATAAATCAAAATGCTGAAATATTTCTTCAAAAATATTCTAACAATATCACAAATGTCAAATGTTTAGCAAAAATCAATTCAAAACAGAGAAACTAATTCTATCTCACAGCGAAATTGCTACAAATCAATCACAGCATTAAGTAAACAAACAGTTCGCTAGAACTACAGCTACTACTGAGATGAGTTGTTTATTCTCGGCTTTTATAAGCTTTATAATTAATTTCTCGAATATACTGGAAACATCTATAAATATCTGGATTTTTGTGGATGGTAACAGCAATTACGAGATATTTATTTATTAGGTATTAAATGCAGGCACTGTTCTATTTTTAACCTTAAAGTTAAAAGACCTGCGTTGGAAACGCAGCTGTCTTTTCAAAAATCGTCTGCGTTGCTAAGGCAACATGAAGCAAATCTAATTACAATTCTAAATAAAAAAAAACTAAATAAATAAATAACTATGAAATCCATAACAATATGAATTAAGTAATAATTAATAATAAAGCAAAGTGCATGCACATGCATGCACCAATATATCGTACAAAACTATGATTGGAAAACTGAGACCATGAGTTCGGCTATCGGGGGATGCGTACAAGTTCACGTGTCCCCCAAAAGCCGAAGGTAGCTGAACGCAAGCTACTCACACGCATTTGTAATTTAAGTAGTGTGTGTGTCAGCTCGCTGTGAGTAATCTAACAACACTGAATAAATTATCGTTAATTACTTAGCAGTAAACATTTCATTTTTTCTTCATCGATATGTTATTTTATTATTATATATTATTATTTGCCGATATATTGGCTGGGCCGCGAGTTTGACATCCTTGCTGTAGAGTATGATATTGTATATTAGAGTACCAACAACAATTCAGTTGCAGCAATACAAAATTGCTCTTTGCTACGCAAATTATTAGACATACATGATAACTGCAGTTTAATATTAAAATTTCACATGATTTTAATTAAAACAACATTATGGTTTACTTAAGTACCATAACAACTTCAAGTGTTTCGTGAAAGCTAAATTTTTAATAACTGATCAGAAAGTAATGACAGAAAGAAAGTTTCAATTTTCTCAGGTAAGCTGCATTAAAAAATAAAACCTAAATTTAATAGCATAACTAATAAGAAATTAATTTACAATAAAATTACTGTAATATGAAACATAGCCACATGAAAATTATGTAAGCACAGCTTGATAAATACTTCTTGAAAGCAAACATACATTTTGAGCAATTGAACCCATTTCAAAATTAATCATTGCCAAACATAATAAGCAATACATCATTTTTTATCATATAAAATTCAAATTATTTTGTATCTGCTGATATTTCATCAGTATTATTTTAAAAGACATGATGAAAAGTGTATTTCTTGCAAAGAACAACTGGACTAAAATACTACATGATGTTTTGTTTAGTAATATATAACTTCAAAAATAAAGTAGATATGTTTTCCTTTGTTTCTATAAATTTCCATGCAGGTTATTGTAAATGCCTGCAAAGTAATCCCGTAAATCAAAAACTTAGTTTAGATTATTGTAAAATCTTTAATTTCTTCACCATAAAACTTACATAGGTAGATAATGTACCATATCTGATACCACTGCCATGTGTGGCAACACTTATGGCACCACCAATGGATATATTGGATGTTGATCCTAACCTGCAAATACAGAATAATAAATACATTTTTAACTGCTCATACTACCACCAGTGTAAAAATTATGTAAAATGGACAGAAACAAAAAAACTATACATACAGATATTATTTCTTGTAAATAAAGCCTTTTACAAAAGCATAACATTTCATATTTTCAATAATGGGAAAAGAATCCATGTTGCATGAAAATAACTATTCTTTTTATTAAGAATACCTTTTCTGCATAAAAAGTAACTCTGTTTTTTTCAACAGTAATTAAAAATAATTAGTATGTTCCTGCTTCTGAAAATTATGACACCATGAAGAAATCTTCAAATCAGAGAGAAATATGTGCTACATATTACTAATTCAAGTTTCTGGCTAAAACAACATTACCTGCATAAAATCAACACTTTATGAAGTCTTCAAAAACAGCAACAAGAACTTCTGTTCATCATAACACTGAGAAGCTTTTGATATATTCTGAGGATTTTCCAGGTTACTAAAATTAAGTCCCCAGTATCGATTTGCTGGATGGAAGCACACGGAATGGCAAGTGGCCCATTCCAATACTGTTTGAATTGGTACTATATCTAGTGAATGGATTAGCTGGAGAAGAAAAGGTATCCGAGGGCAGTGAAAAGACATGGTCATGTGTCATCCCATTGGAATATAATGCTAGAAGCAGGCAGAAGTGACAGATATAATTTCAGCTTCTGGAAGTTTTTTGATATAATATTAGATGTTCAGAATGCTTGCAATTCACAGAAGTCAAGAACTCGTAGAAGATTCATAGAAGTCAAGATAATGATAACCCACACCATCAAGCCAGCAATATGTCCAGTATGGTACTCTAAAATGATGCTGGAAGATGGTTCTCTTCAGAGTAACTTCTAATTCAAGAGTTTTCACAGACAGTTTTAAACTTGATAAGGTCCTAAGCTGTTTGAGATATGGGAACCTTTATAAGTCTATTATAATATATTTTAATACTATTTATACAACATTTTAATATTGCAGCACAGCGGGATTTAATTTCTGTAAATCCGGCCTTAAATCTTCAAACTTTTTTTTTATCATTGTCCCCTTCAAGAATTTCTCATTATTTGTACAGACCTCTTCCACTTTACCACTATTTAATTATGATAAGATGGATTAAAAAAAAAGTAAAGTGATTTTCAGATTGTCTGTTTTACAGCCTTTATTACTTTTTTTAGATTAAATGCTTTTAAAGAAATGCAGATTTTTTTTTAGTCGACCGGATGGTTACTTGCAGCCTGAGACCTCAATATTTATTCAGCTCTTCAAATCATTGTTTTGTGATAAATTCAACAGCAATATGAAAGAAGTGAATCATTTAATTTGTTTTTTCAGTGTTTAAAAAATAACTATCATCCTTCTGTTGTGGTGTTTTGCAAGTGCTTCAAAAAATAATCATGCGTAGTGTTTACAGAATAAAAGTAATCTCCCAATAAATCCAGAAGTTCGAATGTCTAGTGAAAAGGAATACTGAATTTGCTTTGGCAATCCCTATAACATTTAGGAGGAAAAAAATTGTTTAAAATCTACCGCTTAAGGAGATTCAGCATTACAGTGAGTTCAAGGTCGTCGATCTGAGTTTGTGCTTGCAAGTATGAGCAACAGAATATTATTTTTTCAAGTTTTTTTAACGGTACTTCCTCAATCGACAGCTCAAAAATTGTTATTTATGTGTGAATTTAACTCAGGAACATGACAAAATTATTTAATATGCTGCAGATTTTATACTTTTCATTTCAATTTTGCTTAAAATTCCTGCAATTTGATTGTGCTCTTTTGCAAAAATGTGATATTCTTGTTCATTAATTTTTCTAATTTTTCATAAGTATGTGTGAGCAAATTAAGTAATGAATTTTAAGCTATTTAAATTATTTTCAGGAAAGGATTTAGTTATTGTACTGATTGTTACTTACCAGGTATGAAGTTCTAAATTCCGTTTTACATTGCTCTACAAATAAGAAATTATGGATTATTTATAAGTGTTAAATAATTAATTCAAGTTTCATGAATCTGTAAAAGAAAATTTTGGTATTATATCGGCAACATCAATTTTTATGAAAGACTTTTAAGCTAAGGACTGCAAAATACTATGATTATGATATTCAAGCAAAGATTTTACAGAACTGTGAACTTTACCAGCCTTTCTTGAAAATATTAGGACTTTTCTTCAGTAATTTTACAGAAAAATGAACTTGCAGACTTTAAATCTGCATTTATCATGAAAAATGATATTTACAAGAGTTTGTTATTTTACAAAATTATTTAGATCAAAATTCAATAATTTTTTCCCACTATTGTATTTTCCTTTCTTTTCCTACTGCTGTAATGCTTTATTCTAGAAAGGCTTTTCTGTTGCTAAGCCTTTTTCTCTTTGAAAGGGGGAAGGGTTATATGTAAGGTAAAAAATATATAAATCAAAATTACAATTTAAACTAATGGTAATCCTTTAATTCTGCCTCTCTGTTCTAAAAATCGTAATAACTTCTCTGGATTGCGTCATTTCTAAATTATTTCATCTTGCATGAATTGCACAAAACTGATGACGTAGCTCTTGGGAACTGAAACTTTTCTAAACTAAACCAAAATCTTCCTCTTGACGAGCTTTCATATTGGATAACTATACACTTCAGCTTCTCTCTGTGCACTGCTTGGATGTAATTTCATAGTGCTCACTTCCTATCACAACAGTATAAAAAATGTAAATGCTCATGAATAGGCATTGGTACAGTGCCAAGTGATTGTGGCCACAAATGTCAATTGGAAAATAAAAATGGAATTAAAACCACCTTGAATACCAAGTTTCTTAGATATTATGAACTCAACATATTAGCATACTGCACAATCAGAATTCTTCCTCTTCAATATGGATCTGTGATCTGTCCTATCTAGGTATTATGCATCGACACTTGTCTATTTTTTTCTTGTTTTCATTACACGCACACACACATATATATATAACCAGGGTGAATCAGAAAATCTCTGCCCCTATTTCTTTTTTAGCCAAATTAGGGCTGTAAATGCAAAGTCAACACATCAAAGGACCTTTCTTGGACCATCCTAACCTTATCTGCTCATACTCTACGGCACTGCACTGCTGTCAGTTGCTGAAGATGGCGGTTGTGCTTCACATGCTCACAGCATATAAGCAACAAAGTGCAATTCACTTTTTTAATGGAGCAAGGAATGAATGCTCATCAAAATCCATGGGAAAATGCAGTCCACATACAGAAAAAAAGTGTTTTGCTTTGAGAAGTGTGAGGTAGTGATATTGTGAGTTCCCAAAAGGACGTGAAGACATGCATGACTATTCGTGACATGAAGACCTGCATGATGTGAAGACTTGCATGAACTTTTCTCCCTATACATATTTTTCATACTGTTATAAATGCAGATATGTTAATGCAGATAGATAATAAAGACTAACTGATATGATGCATACATTTTATACTGTTCAGGCAAATAAATAAAACATATTATTATGCAGATAAATGACATTATATATACATTTAGGACCATTACAAGTGAGTAATCAAGACTTGTTGTCAATTACATTGGACATCAAAACCATACGATAATGAGAAAAATATGCTCACTAAGTTAATGTTGCAACAAATGACCAGTGCTGTAACTATTTATGTTAATTAAATACAACTGAACACATAATTCCACTTTCATGCATATGCTAGCACCAGAAATATGCAAATTCAGTGCACAATTGATTTTGGTATCAGGGCTGTGGATTCGAAGTAGGAGTAGGAGTAGGTATCGGAGTCGGGTAGATTTTGGGATAAAAGGAGTTGGAGTCGCTAAAAAACACGTCGACTCCGAATCCAGTTTTTGTTGAACAGTTTGAATTTGAAATGAGATTAAAAGGAATTGAAAAAAAAAATAATGACAAGCTGAGTTAATATTTTTATTTATGAACTATTTACATTAATAAATAGTTATTTTTTACTTTATTGGCATATTAGTAAATAAATATAAGGGAGCAGGATGGACATGATATTTGCCATTATTGATTAAACTGATTCATTTAGTTACTAATCTCATTGGTAAATTTAGGTAAGCAGCAAGAACTCCCGAAATTGATAATATTCTTAGGAAGCGAGCAGGAAAAGGAGCAACACAATGGAGAAGTACATATTTGATGATATAGTAGTTGCTAGGATTAAAAACGTTTTCAGAAGATGTAAATAACCCTAATATTTCACTAACAGAAAGACTGTGGAATGATCTTGCAGATCTGGAAATCCTTCTTTCAACACCATATATAGCCACAATAAAGCTACAATCTCATGAATTAAAAGGAGACGAAATTGTTAGAAGATGTAGATAACCTTAATGTTTCACTAACAGAAAGACTGTGGAATGATCTTGCACAATTGGAAACTCCTCTTTCTATACCATGTATAGCCACCAAAAAGTTACAGTCTGAAGAATTAACAAGAGGCAAGACTGGAAGAATGTGATGTTTGTTCTTTCTGAAATGGAAGGTTTATTGCAGATGTAATCATTTCTTCAATGAAGAAAAGAGAGACTAGTTTGCTACACAATAAAATTGTTCTGGGTTCAATATATGTAGATCCAAAATGCCGAATTTTGTTGGATGACAAACAAATTAAAAAGGCAAAGAAAGCCATTTATGAAATTTCATTAAGAATGAAATTATTCTCAGAACACCTGGAGTATTCAAATAAGGACAGTCAAACTGCAGATATTGCAACTGAGTCTCTATCATCCTCTTCCACTGATGAATTAGATTTTGAGAAATATTTGGATAATACTGAAAAGGCTAAGGCAATGCGAATGAAAGTAAATAACCAAGAGCCTTTAGATCTAAAAATGAAAAATACAAGCAAAGATTTATACATTGCCTTTGAAGAAATAGATAAATATGATTGCTCTTGCAAAACACCTCTTATAAAAATCTGTTCTGAAAAGTTAAAGGAAGAAGCCCTAACAATAACAGCTCTTCTTCCTACTCAAGTCAGTGTGGAAAGACTCTTCTCAGTTCTGAAGTTTATCAAAAAAATCTATAGTCCTCTAACAAAGAAGATCTTGTCGAAGTTTTACTGTTTTTTAGAAATTACTAATGCCAGTTTCTCCATTTCATAATAAATGCTAATTAACATAAAAAATTTGCTATGCATCAATTTATTTCTGTAGCATGTAATTACTTCTTTTATATTAAAAAAATAAGCTGTACCCATGTGTATATGTTTACATATATATGAAGGAGTCGAAGTCGGACATTTTCCCTACCGACTTCACAGCCCTGGTTGGTATTTCGGTCTGCAGTGTTGTTTAAAGTGAGTCTGCTTTCTGAGAGTGATCAGTATTCAGTAGTTATGGCTTAAAGGCATTATTTAAGTGAAGGTCAAAAGTGGCGAATTATCGATAGAATTATCCCACAAAATGTCAACAAGGTTGAAATTCCTTGCTCAGTACATAAACCTAGGCAATGCCAGCTGTCTACTAAATGCACCTCCATATTCCTCCATATGTAATGATAAAATGTACCCTTTACAGATGTGCATTTTTATGTGATATATATTTTTTATGTGATAAAATGTACCCTTTACAGATGTGCATTTTTATGTGATATATATTTTTTATGTGATAAAATGTACCCTTTACAGATGTGCATTTTTATGTGATATATATTTTTTATGTGATAAAATGTACCCTTTACAGATTTTGCAGCAAAACTCTGTAGTTCTGCAGAAGTTTTATCACAGTTTCTTCTATTGCAGGCAAATTTCACAAAAACATATTTTAAAATTAAGTTTAGGGCAAAAAAAATCACAATCTCTTTATACACATTTCAGAAACTTAGAATAGAAAACAAAAAGAACACACAAAAATGGCAACCTTGCTTGACTGAAAAATTGTTATGAGCATGATTGCCAGAGCTTCGACATATTCTGAAAATCTGGTGATTTCTACTAAGATGGTTGCAATAACACACAAGTACCATACAGGTGAAAGTGGGACTTGTTAGAAAATACAATTTGCCAAGTTGTGGGCTATACTCTAATTCGTATATTCTTAAATTTAAGGCACTGAGGATTCACTGTTTTCCATAAAGGAATGTTTGCACAATTCTCTGTGAAGCAGATTTGATTATCAAGTTCTCTGATTTGGTTTATTTGATTATGGCAAAGTATATGAGGGCTTTTTTGGAGAGAGATGTCTCTGTGGAGGATTTTCTACGACAAACTGGCTCATATGCACTTAACTGATGGAGAAAACAATGAAAATGCTTTTTCAGCCAGCCCACTCACCCACAATTGAGTCCAGGTTACAATACCAGTCATTATCATGCAGATGAACAGTACATCTATAGGATAAGTTTAAGCGCAGGGGCCATCTATCATTTACCCTGAGTAAGTGAATAAAGACCCCTTGCATTCTCTATCCAGATTGACATTATCCTCCTGGGGCCTACGATGCTGTTCTGTTGCTGAGGTGCTACTGCTGTTTACGATCAACATTGCAAGCTCTGTCACTACTGGTGGTGTCATTGGTTGTCCCGTTTTATGTTCGAACTTGAGCAGTACAGGCAATCACACTGCTGCCTATATTATATATTAAACATAGTATACAAGCAATGTGTTTTGTTTTTATATGTTGGGTATGTGCTCAGTGATGATTACAAGATGTACACAAACATTGTTTATTCTACATTGCTAATCTATTATTCTATATTACAGTTATGATTAATGATGATAATAGATACAGTTACAATTACATATATAACACAATGGTCATAACAGGGATGCATTAAACAGTCACTTAATTAATATGTTAGCCTCCTTGGACTGGTGGGGCATGGCATTTAAATACATATGAAATGATTGTATTTTCAGCCATACTGGCCATTTGTTGCTTAGAGATAAAAAAGCTTAGCCCCTTGCACTGCTTGTGAGTGCTATATGTCCTGCTTCATGTTGTTAGCAGAGCTTATTGCTTTCTTGTGGAATATCAGTACTCCAATATTAAGTTAATATTTGAGAAGAAACTAAATGATTTGTCACAGCCATATACATAAGATATCCAAGGTCCTATGGCACTGGCACATATTTTGGCCCATTGCCAGATTTTTGATTCAATTAATTAATTTTAATTGTCTATTCCAATACTTACATGTAACAGTTATGATATCATGTTGCAAACAAACAACAATATCACGGTATGAAAAATCCTCCTTCACATAGGCCAATAATCCCTGTTAAAACACTGCATTTTGCTTATGTGTTGCCTTTTGCTAGCAATATGTAATGCATCCTGTAGAACAGTTTTCAACTATCTTACAATGATTCAATGTTCAGCAGCAACTACATTTATATGCTTCACAAAGTAGTTTTAAAGATTTTGCAGAATTCAGACAAATGCAATTATTCTACTTTTCTAATCATTTGCACATAGACCTCACTTTATGTTTCTCGCAAGTTTCATGCTGATTAGTTGATTTTATTCCTTCATAGTACTGCAATTTTTGTAAACATGAATGCATATGCAATGAATTTATATAAAAAAAATTAGACAATTAAAAGTTTTGAGAAGTGGCAAATACAGTAGTTCATAATAATGAGCAGCCTTTGGCACTGTGTAAATGCTAGGCTGGGATAAATTTTGAAATAAGGAATTATCAAAACTTTTTTTTTAACCCAAATTGGAGTAGGGCCATCATATTCAGACAATCTGCATTGTATTGTAACTGTTTACTTCCGAATGTTGTCAATCAGTAAACTTTATAAAAAAAATTTAATTATTTTTTATATTTTACATAATTAATTTGTTTCTTCAAATATTTCAGTGAAAACCAATTTTTAAAATACATTTTTTTTCAGTGAGAAAAATGACACTGTATTATTCACTATGAATAGTGCTAATTTCTTTTAAATCTCTTGACATAAAACAAACAAAACTCAAATAAATTAATATTTAAAACAAAATTACCTTGCAATTATTGAATGAAATAGTGAAGCTTAGATTTATAAACAATAAACAAGTTCATTAGTAAAAGTGTATATATGAAAGTTCCTAAATAGAATATGCTAAATAATTTACATAATTCCCTCCCCCCTTATAGTACTATATCAGCCTAAATACAAATCAGCCTCATATATAAGGTAACCTTACATTTTTAAGGCCTTTTATAAAGTAAAAAAGGATTACACATAAAAAAGTTTATTCTAAACAGTGTAAATACCATCCTTTAAAATATTTTTTTTTTCTTTTGGTTCTTGGGAAAAGTAATAAACTAATATGTTTATCAAAATTACACATGTTAATATGGTATGATTTTCAAAAGAGCATTTGGAAGTAAGCGAAAAATCAACTTACTTGGGACCAATTCATGCTTACTTTTCACATTTGATGTAATAATTTATTACTTCCCTCTAAAGGTACTCGTTAAAAAAAATCATTATTTAAAAAAAAAGTAGCATTTATTTAGCTAGTGTACACAGGTGATTTGAATCTTTTGGCATATGTCCTCACCCCTCTGTTCATCCACATAAAATAAATTAAGCAAATAAATAAATTATAAAAGAAATTTTTTGGCAATTCTGAATAACATTCCACAGAAACATTTATAAACTTGTTTACCTTTGAAATCAATCATATCATTATGAATCTCTATATAAAACTAGAAATATAGAGTTAAAACATAAACAATGCTTGAAAAAATTATTTACATATGAGTAGTTTATTCATTTAAATATGAAAAATTCTCTGGGGATTTCTAGCAGAACATTATCATTAATTTCATTAAGCAAGCTGCTTAAGATACTGGATTTATGAATGGGCAGTTTAAATTCATTAGCATTCCTGTTACCTGGATGTTCCCAAAACAAAATGAAGAGAAACAATATGCAAAGGACTTTTATTTCTCAAAAGTAGTTATATTTTTCATTTTACTTACAATCAACAGAATCAAAAATTTAAAAAAAAAAAAAGTATACTTTCTGGTTTTAATTATCAGCTAATTTGAAGGACTTGGAAAAAAATTAAAGTACAAACAGAAGTTTAAACATAACTGAATCTGGAAGATAAAAGTATTTTAATTAGTGAATTTTAATAGTTAAATGAATTTAAAAATACTTACACAGGAAGAGCAAGATTATGTGAATATAAGCTTTCATTCAGGTCACTTATAACTGCCCCAGCTTCAACCATTACTTGTAGGTTCTTTTTATCAACCTTGATACACAAGATATTAGTTAGAAATTTACAATTAGATACCTTAAATAAGTTAATGAAAAAGACAGACAAAAAAAAATGTACCTTCAGAATTCTATTGAAATTCTTCAGACTTATCATAACATCATCTGTGCAAGCAATATCAGATGGAGAATGTCTACAGCCCACTACACGGACCTTCTTCCTTTTCTCTCGTGCAAATTCCAATATCTGCGATACAACACAGATATTTTATCGTTTTGTGATACAATCTATTAAACGGCAAATTCTACATTCAACAGCTGGAAGCCAACTTTTAACAAAACAAAACAAAAAAAAATTTTTTAAAAATAAATAAATAAATAAATAAATAAAAATTTTAAAAAAATCTATTTGACATTATTTTTAAATGACTGATTGTATTCTGAGATAAAAAAATACTGATTTCTTGAATACACAGTACCATACCAATACAGCCTTAATAAGCAGAGTTTTGGAATTATCCAGAAAAAGCTTTCAATAAATAACATATTTTTTATAACAGTGGTAAAAAATTAGAATGTTTTTCCTCTCATTTTGCATGATTGTTATACTAAAAGAACAGAAAACTCCTACAAGATTGCTTATATAAATTGTCTGAGATGATGTATTTAACCAAAACTCTCTCGTGCAGTTTGTTTAGGAAAAGATTATATTGAAAAACTAAATACACACTAAATGGTTAGCTTTATATTCATGATTTCAGTTTAAGAAATGAATCAAATAGTATCATGCTGAGAAACATACAATAATTTTGGTCAAATAAATATCAAAGTAAAAATGTATAAAGCTTTTTTTATACTCTTACATGGAGAAAAATGGAATTAAACATAAAATGGGTGTAATGATTAAAAAAAAAAACTTTCTATTGTCTAAATTAGCTAAGTAATGCTTAAAATTAACTGAGATATTACAACATTTTTGGAGACTTTACATAAATACTGCTAAAAATGATATGCAATTAAAATTTTACAAAGCAAATCTCTAAAAATTCATTTTTAAATTAGAAAAATATTAATTTAGGAACAACAGTTTTCAATTACCATTTGTGAAAATACTAAATTAAAAAAAATTCATAAATCACTATTTTAGTTGCACATCATTCATGATATGTTTTCATTATTTGCTTTAAAATTACGTAAATATGGTTTTAAGCCCTAATTTTGTAAATCGTGAATTTCTATTTTTTCTTCCTTGAAATATCTATATGAAAAAGTATATTTTATTGGTAAAAGTTTACTAAATATTTTATTAAATATTTTTAGTCCAAAGGAATTTGTCCCTGAGAAACTATGGTTTTCATTTTGCGATTTTGCCTCGAATCACTCTCAATGTCCGTTTCACTTTTCAAACTGTTGCCACCAAATACTATTGCCCTGTATTATATTTGAAGAAATTAAATAATGAAGAATCTGCATACATGTATGTCTGTTTCTCGCATTGTGATAAAACAACGGTACCTAGAGCCATCAAACTACTGCAAATATGGGCATTTGGAAGCCCAAATTTGGAATTTGTTTTATTATTGATTTCATATTTTTTAAAACTTTAGCAAATTTTTGATTAACAAACTCAAGGATTTCAAAGCGAGCAATGGCAACGTTGTACAGAAAAAAATTTTTTATCTCCAGCGTGTGAGACTGTGTATCAGAAATGCTCAATTTAAAATTATTTTGTGATATTGCTCTTGAATGAATTTTATGAATTTAAGTGCAAAGAACATGATATTTAATGAATAAAGGTAATTTTAAAAAATGCCCCTTTAGACGTAATTTAAAATCTGAAAGCTTTCAGATTTTTTTTTTTAAATTTTTGTTATACATTCGCAAACTGAATGGCAAGAATATGTCATCACCATATTCATACACAAAAGCAAGGAGAACTGTTAATAACTCACTTAAACAAATTCCTGTTGCTAGATGTTTATTTTTCTAAAACTGATTTAGCCTGATAATAACCCATTGATTCAATACATTTTTTAGTTCACTGTTCTGCATGTTGATGCACTATAACTATAATGTATAACAAGAAATAAAAAATAGTGCATTATTAATATTTCATTTAAGCATAATTTCTCTTAAATCAATGTATAAGTACTAAAAATTTCTTACTGAGTGAGTCGTCTTTCACCAAGATGATTTTCTTTAATGTATGCCAATGTTAGAGGCAAAATCTATGTCTGCATAATTTCTAAATCTGCTGTGAATTTGCGTTTCCTTAAGTTTAAATGAACAGAACACAGAATTGTTTTTAAACGTAAAAAAATACTTTGTGAGAATTATAACACTTTTTGGATACATTTTTCATAGTATTTCTAAAGAATTTTGAAACAAAACATGCTATGAAAAAAAGAAATAAATAAACGAATACAGGTAATTATGTATTATCACAACCATTTTAGCTGAAGTCACCAAAGTTTTGGAATATGCCACACTCTGTTAACCATGCACATAACAATTATTCAGACAACGATGCATATGATAAATATTCAATTTCCTCCAATATTGCTATAAAGTATAGCATTGTTCATCTACATTCAACCAGTGTAATATTAATTTCCTTTTTATTTTGCTTGAGTGACAACAGCTGTAAAACATTATGTTATTATTTTGGTAGAATAAACTTGTTTGGTTGTGTTTAAAATTTTGAGAGATTATTTAGAAATGAGTTGATGAATGGACAAAATGGTGTACATTTACTGTCGTATCTAACATTTGGTGACCCTCGGTACTTGATTAAATATAAGAGGTAAGTACTTTATATAAGAAATAATTAAATGAATTTTGGTTTGCAATGGAGCATCTTGTTAAGAAGCGATCTCCGTTACGAACATCGTTTACTAAGACATATAAAAGTTTAATGTCTCTGTTTGATGATGAAAATATAGAAATAAATGATGTTAAGATTAAGTTAGCTACTTTAGAACACATTAGTGCTAGTTTAATGACTCTTGATCACAAAATTTTATAACTTGCCTTAAGTGCAAACGATAATGGTAAAAGTTATTCTGATGAATTTGAATCTGTAGAAGAATATAAAATCTAATTTGATAAAGCTATAGTTTGCATCAATTCTTTTATAGAAAGTAAACCACAGCCAAACAGGAATATATTAAGTAATGAGAAATCAAAAATAAAACTTCCCAAACTAACGAAATTTAGCGGTGAAGTTAAAGAATGGTTATGTTTCCGGAGTCAGTTTAAATGAATTCACGATCATAAAGAAATGGAATTGGAAGACAAATTCCAATATTTAATACAATGTATGTCACCAGGTACAACAGTAAAAGAGATTATCGATAGTTATCCACCCACAGAAGAAAATTATTTAAAAGCGATTGAAAGCCTCAAAGCAAGATTTGAATGGAATTGGAAGACAAATTCCAATATTTAATACAATGTATGTCACCAGGTACAAGAGCGAAAGAGATTATCGATAGTTATCCACCCACAGAAGAAAATTATCCAAAAGCGATTGAAAACCTCAAAGCAAGATTCGACCATGAGGAATTGTTAGTGGAATACTATGTTCATGAACTATTAACTTTAGTTGTTAAAAATGCTACCAAATCTAAGCTTAGTATCACTCAATTATATGATAAACTTGAATCCCACCTCAGATCTTTAGAATCCATTGGGATGACATCAGATAAATATTCTGCAGTGCTCTTTCCCCTTCTTGCAATGCCCTTCCCAATGTGGAGTCATGTATTCCAGAAGATGTGTTAAGAGTTTGGTTGAGAAACTCAGTAAATGAAGAGAAATCATGTACAGTACAAAGTCTTTAATCCGGACTCGTCGGGACTTCGACGATTCCGGATTAGGGATCATCAATTTAAATCTGGTAAGATGGCATGCAGAAATTATAAAATTAAAACTATGAAACCATAATTTACGAAATAAGGTGCAATTATGATCTAAAGGGTATCAAAATTTACAAACAAAACAAAACAAAAAAAGCTTAATATTTATTTGTTTATTTCATTAAACATTTCTTTTAATGTAAGTTGTAAGCTGCTTCATTTATCGTGCTAATCTTTTTCTTTAATTCTATTAACAGACATAATTTCTTGTTTAGTCACAAAGTTCCGCTGTTCAAGTCCTGTAATTGCTGTGCCGAGAATACCGACTAACTTGTCAATCGAAATTTTTTCGTTTTCACTAACCTCTCTGTCACTTTCTTCATGCCTTTATCCATTTCTTGCAGCAATTCCCCTTTTTGTTTGATGGACATCAAAACATGCTTTCGCTTTGTAGATCCTTTGGCAGCTCGAGAATCGGAAACTCTTTTTGACATAATCGAAAGTTCAAGCTTACTTTTTATAAAATTGCTCTAACAGTCTGCAAAAAATAATAAGCCGGATCCAACTAGAAGATTAAGGAACAACGCAATCTACAACATTAACTGAAAGAGATAATTAGATAATTTTAGCCTAGCTTATACCGTCCGTTATACATTAAACGTGATAACCACTGACCTGACTTTGTTGTAAAAGTCTTACAGTGTTAGTAGTCATCCTGGCAGAAGGGAAAATTTCCTCCGTGTAAAAATATACATATAAATATTACATGGGCATACAAGGCCTGTGTATAAGCATAGATATGTTGATTACAATCATTGTCTTGTACAAGTTACATATGATGGATACATAAAATCATGACAGCTATGTGTACATTTAGACATTATATGAATTCATATTTACAATACTTTTACTGAGATAATCAAAATTAAACTTGTAATTCATTTACACATTGACTGGATTTTCAATATCATTTACACTGCTTTACAATATTATTTTTATCAAGTACATATAAACTGGATAGTAATATGCTTACATTATAATAGTTTTGCTCTTACAGTCCTGTTATTATTCTACGGGGTGAGCTATTTTCCTAGTGTTGATGTTCAGTTGTAGTATTTTGAATTGCTATTAAATTTAATTGATAGATTTTAATTTTAATTCATAGATACTGGAGATGAATATTCCTATGTTTTAAAATCAAAAGTAGAATCTTTAGGAATAAGATCAGCTCATAAAAAAATTAACACATATTGTGTTTGGAGGCAAGACATCTGATATGAATCATAAATGTTATAAAATAGATGTTGAGAATCTGCATACTGGTTATAGCTGCAAGATTCCTGTGTTAGATCAGCCTATAATTTGTGGATCTATACCTAGTCTACAGAAAGGACCTTGGATATCAGAATTAGCTGGAAAGGGAATTTATATCACAGATGATGATTGTGTCAACCCACAGATTGATCTTTTGATAGGCTCAGACTTTGAGTTTCAGAATATGCCACATTCTGTTAACCATGCACATAACAATTATTCAGACGATGCATATGATAAATATTCAGTTTCCAATATTGCCATTTTTTATTCGTTGTTTTTGTTACATTTCAAATTTTGATTGCTTTTATACAAAAGTTGCATAAATTTTTGTCTTCAACACAATTTTATAATTTGTGCTTGTGGGATTTTCCTATAATAGAATAAAGAGAGAAATAGAAATTTCTGTGAGAATACAGTATTTTGCTACAAAATTGCTATCATATCACAATAATTTAAACATGTCAGAATTGTTTAAAATCTGCATCTATCTCAAAATTTAATAATTAGCTGTCAGTATATTTGAATTACAAAATGTAACTAACAGATATTTTTTCCAGGTACCAACATTTAGATTTCAGATAGAAAAAAAATAAATTTGAAGTTTTCCCTTAGTCTTATTATCATTTTTACATATATTTTATGATTATTTAGCAAGTGAAATTTATAATTTAATTTAAAAAAATGATTTAAATTTGTTATTTTTTTTAAATTTTTATTTTGATAAAAAAAAAAGGCTGGCCTGTCAGCTGCTTTCAATTCATGCATTTGGAGCCCATGCAATTTGCCTCCGAGACCACTGCAATATGGCATTTACATCATTAAAACCGTTACAGGGTGCTGTAAATTTTTTAAACCAGTGTTTTTCTAATTGGCAAGATAAACATGCTAGGCAAAGTTTTATGCTTACTGTAGCCTGTCCTTCATATTTTTCATTATTTCAGTATCTTCCAAAGCTTAAAAGAAACACTATCATTCTGTATACAGCTACAATGGTATTTGTTGTTGTATTATTCTGTATACAACAACAAAGATAATATTTATATTAGTTTGCTTTCCCTTAAAAAAAAAAAAAGAGAGAGAGAGAAAGCAGAAGCAGAACTTTTCTGAGTATTTATTACTTCAGTAACTGTTTTTTCATACAGTTTTCACAATGCATTTATACTTTATAAATCAATTAATTTTACCACCAAACTTTAAATAATAATAATAATAAAAATATGTTTTATAGGGAGATGAATGAAAGTATAATTACCTGCTTAATTTCTTCTTCTGTGCTAGGAATAAAAAACAATTCAGGCCTACATTGGAATGTCTCTGACCAATTTTTAAAATGCACATTTTGAATTCCAGTTTTCTATAAAAATAAAACATATGTAATACTTGATGATTCAAATATACTAAATTCTCTCTAATTGAACACCTCTGAAAATAATAATTATATCTGAAAATGTAAATGAACACTGATATTGAACATTCTCTGTCTAACATAGGGAATGAGAGAAGATAAGACTTCTGTCAATACAGATCCCTTATCTTGACAGAAATCTACAAATCATCTGGAATTTATGTTGGTCACCTTAGAAAGGGTTCATTATATTTATTAAACTAAATAGCAATGCAATACAACCCTTTATGTCTTCATATATATAGTTGCTATCTGCAGCTGGTTAATAGCTTTATTTATTCAGCAGGTGCATAGTTGAGGCTATAAAATGCGACTATAAAATGCGTCTCACATCCTTTCTGAAACATATCTTGCTGTACTTTTTAATAGCCAGTTATTTAATTTCTTGCATTCCATGAGTTATTATTTTCCCCCTAATTGTGGGCTCTAACAGCTTATAGGCATATGCCACTACTAAGGCTAGAAGCAGTGGTAACTTTATTATGAAGGCAACTAATGGGTGAGCCATGGTGGCCTCCTATGAAGAGATGGACAAATTACATCCATGTCTTTTCCAGGATTTGAACCCATGCACTTGGATATGGCAGTCAAGAGTCGATAACCACTTTCCTGTTGGGCGACTTACTTTCCATTATACATATAATAATTTCAAAACAATTTTATAATGTGCATTCTGTGCTAGTTCTTACAGTGATCATAAAAAAACGGAAATTTCTTAGCTATGATTTATTGCTAAAACTATTCAAGTTTTAGAATGCGTAGTGGCTAGTAACCAAAACAGCAAGGGAGAGGGGGGAAAAAAAAAAAAAAAAAAAAAAAAAACCTCAGCAGCATGTGATATTAAATGCCATATTTACTTGTTTTGTAACTTTGTAGATGCACTATACAATTTAATATAATAAATGCTTTACAAATTTATATAATACTCATCAATACACATTACAGTAAACATAGCACATGTATGAATGTATTAGGTCTTACGTTTTAACTAATCAATGTGTTTCTATTTTATTCTCTCTTCAGATCTGCAAGGCAAAGTATCAGAAACCTGCATTCCATTTGTGCAAAAAAAAGAAGATGCTGCCATTAAAGTTAATTTAAAATTGGTAAATCACCTTATAATGTATTTTCTCCCTCCTTTCTGCATGCCTTCATGGTGTAATGGTAGCACACTCATAAAAGTAAAAATGTGCTAGTGCTCAAGATCTGTGCTTATGGTCATGTGTGCTTATACTAAGATATTATCTGCTTTATTTACAGTATGGAAACTCAGAAATTAACAGCAAATAAACAGCATTTGAAAATAAATTGGTCGTTGCACAAAGCTGAGTGCAGTATCTGCAAATATCTACCATTATGTGCTAACCAATGCAATACATCAACATATGGGAATAATGTTCTTAATCGTCTGCAACATAATCTGCTTCTAATCATTAAAAATTGATATAAAATCTTTCTTTCATATCACTTCAGACAAAAATTTAAGAACAAGCTTAGTTGTATAAGCCCTAGAAACAGAATTTTTGAAACTCTACTATAATCATACAGTTTTTCAAAAGTATACAAAAATGTAATGATGCAATTTACGTGAACAAATGCATTTAAACGAGAAGTTTGGCATTGCTCAAGCAAATTTTTCATATGCTTGCATACATTATTATTATTCAATTTGATAGCACTTGTACATTTCACTAAATTTGTGTCTCTTAAATAAGCATTTTATGGAGTTTTCAAAAAATTCTCAATTTTTACTCTTAGAAAATATATGCACTTGATGTTCCTGGGAAATAAGTATTCGCATTCGGTATACGGATTGCGAGGTATGTATTCGGATACTTTTGAGACATTACTGTAAATAAAATTTAAGGAAATATGCATATTTATAAGATCCTGAAGCCACCATATTCAATAAATTCCTTTTAATGGAATTTTCCGCATTACGTTTCTAAAAATTACATGCTATTTCAGAACAATTTTATAAAATGCTTCATTAATCTCAATTTCAAGCATCCGAAAAAAAGTACTGATATATTAAATAAAAAAACTAATATAATACGAAAAGGTAGAAATGTATAAATTTTAATACATCCACAAACCAAATACATATATTTTTGAAGGATTTAAATAAAAGAAAAATATTAATTACTCAGTAAAAATGAATTTCTACTGTGATAAAATAGTGCAATACACGAGAATTAAGGAAACTTCAATTATTCTGTTAACATGTCTGCTTATATAATTATAGCAAGTTAAAAAATATTACTTACCAACACGTTATATACTTTTGTAGTATTCATATTTACAACCTCTATTTCAGATGTAAGTTCGCCCACTATTTCACAAAATACAAAAGCGAATAAACCTCATGTAAATACATACATTAAAGCAACATACCCACGGTAAGCTCAAATAACTTCTCAATTTTCGCACAGGTTTAAGATTTTGCATTTTTAGCTACATTTTTCAGCCTGCTAATAGACAGACAAAATAGACAGATGTCTTATTTTGCACCCGCTAAGTCTTTCTGCACCAACGGGCGAAAAATAAAGCTTAGGTGCGAAGGAAAGGTATGTAGAAAAAGGGCAATTTTGTATTTCAGAGGAGAGTAAAAAAAAACTTCGTACGTATTATACGAGTTCGAAAGTCCAGGACGAAAAGATGGGACAAAATAAAATAAAAATAAATGGCCCAAATGTAATAGAAGGAAATAAAAAGGGGCTATAGAAAGAAAAGGAAAGGAAGTAGAAAATTTCTAACAATACGATTGTGTCCATTAGTGTAGTAAAAAGGGGAGAAAGCTGTGTTCATTTGCAAAAATTAGTGTCTTAAAAAGCAAACTTTAGCTAAGTTAAAAAAAAAAAAATAAGTGCTTACATGGCAATGTGTATACCTTTATCTTGAGACCTAACTACAAAAGACACATATCATCACAGAGATGTACATATGATTTTAACTAAAGTAACATTAACTATTACCGTTCCCAAAAAATTCATGTCTATTTCAGAAAAACAGTAATTGACAAAATCATAAATCCATACACAGTATGAGAGCATACCAGCAAAAATAAATAAATAAATTATATATTTATTTGACCGTTGCAATTTGTTATAGTACAAGTTTAAAAAATTCCTTCACACTGTATTTATATTTCCTCATAATTCTAAGTTTGAGACCTGAAAAAAAGTCTGGGATCTTAGGTACAAAAATCACAATCTATTTTCATCGATGTTCAAGAGATCCCCATTTTTCCCTTTCAAGAAATTCCTAAGCACGAAAAGGAGGGGCCTCCGAAGGGTGTGAATTGCTGATAAGAACAGACTACTGATAAGGAATGTGGCGGATAAGGTAGTTTGCCTTGACCTTAATAAGGTTCTGAGAATCTAAGAAATAGTTACAAAAAAAGAACCACATGACTTACTACTAGTTGCTAACTATTTATAATGCTAGAATCTTATGAAAATAATAAATAAAGAAATTTAATGGCACTTTTGTGATAGAGAATAATATATTGTATAGAGAACAGAATGTTACTTATCTGAATATTTCGTGTGAGGGTTTCTTTTGAATTTCTCCTGTTGATAGTGAACAGCGAACAAGATATTTGAGATTTCGAAGAAGCGAAGTTTCCTTTTTCAATTTGATGGATGAGACATTGCAGAGGAAAGGTGCATTAAACTTTTTTAGAGAGTTCAAAACATTTACGGAAATACTTATTTAAATATTTTGGAGCTATGTTTAGACACTGGCTCCAGCTTTCGTGATCGCCGCGCCAGTTAGCCTGCTAATAGAGTTTTGTTTAACATGTATAGTCGTAGTTAAGGTGAAACTCTCAAGATGTGTTTTCACACAATTGTATGATGTTTTTGGAATACAATAGAACGTATACGTGGCAGATAATCAGTTTCGACACCCTGCGCATTTATTCTTATAACTTAAATTTAGGAATAACTTGAATACTTATGTCCGATATGTTAAATTTAAATACATTTTAGCTTGAGAACTAAATCGTTCAAGAACAATTAAATCAAATTTATTAAAATTCTGTTACAATAGTTACTTTAACGGCTGTTAATTTGATCCTCTTACCTTTGTTTATTCCTATAATAGAAATTTTAGGCAGGTAAAAGAATGAGGCATTAAATAACTTCTCTTGTTGGCTGAATCAGACCTCTTTTCAGATGATATCCATACATCAGTACTCTTCTCCATTTAAACCCAAAATTATAATTTTTAAAAATGGTAGATATTTCTCAACCAATTATCGTTGAAGCGATGTTTGAAAGATTTCTAAAGGGAACATCATTTCAAACAAAAAAGTCATGAATTAACTTCGAAATACGATTTTCATCCAAATTTATTTTAAGATCAAAGTGAACCATGGACTTTTCATGGCAGTTCAGTGGCCAATTTTAGAAAATTTGTAGTTTCTTTCGGTGATTATAGACTGCTGTTACCATGCAGAAGCAATATATGTCTTATAACAGTTTGATTAAAAAAAATCTTTTAACTTCATTGGACAGGACCTGCAGTTGGGATATGAAAGACACATTAGTAAGCGGTTTTATATTAAGAAATATATATGTTAGAAAGCAACCTCACTATTGCACTTAATTTGAAATGACGTTATTGATACATTCTCTTTGGGCAGTGGGAAAAAACTGACGGCACTTTTCTCCCCTTTCGATTCGATTTCGCGCGTGATTGTGAATTCGATCTTTTTAATTATTTAATTTGTTTTGTTATTAATTAAACGTTATTTAATCCTTAACATATCTCTTATTGATTTTTTAAGGAACGTGCTTGAACTCAATTAATACATTATAATTTAATATGCTCATTATAATGTAAATCTTTTGTGGCAACAGTGATGTTTTGTTTTACATATGCTTTGAGCGTGATAACGCACGCGATTTTTTTATATGTTTATAATGATAAATAGGTTCGTTATTAATTAAAAAGGTTTTCTCTGCGAAATACATTTCCATTCGTCTGAAGTTAATAAGTTAAGAAATTGATTAATTTCAAACAACTGGCGTCCGCGACAGGACGGAATGGCTATTTGAAGAAAACAAAACACAGATTTCGTACTGGAATTTATCAAGTGAGTTTATGATTTGTTTGATTATATCCAGAGACAAACCGAATTTAAAATCATGGAAATTTTATTACGAAAGCGTAAGACTCTTAGGCAATCGTTTACGATTACTACCAATGCTTTAGATGCAAAAATTCTAAAACCTGACGTGGAAATTTATCAACTCCAAGTATTGAGCTCGCAATTAAAAGATAAATTCAACAGATTAGATGAAGTTCAATCACAAATTTCCGAACTTTAGTTGGAAAGTGAATATTTGGCTGATTTTGTCACAAAAAAAGCTTATCGTGATAAATATATCAGTTTAAGAACAAAAGTAGAAAATAAAATGGTGAATTCGTCTCCTATAATTAATTACACCTGGAACTTTAGAAAATTCTACGAAGAGGAACATTAAATTACCAAAGTTGGAGCCTCAAAAATTCAATGGGGAGACCCAAAATTGGTTAGGATTTTGGAGACAGTTTAAAAAGATCGACGAAGATGTAAATATAGATGACTGTGATAAATTTCAGTACCTATTGCAAGCAACTGTCACTGTATCCCCAGCGAGAGAGCTTATAGATATTTATCCTCCGTCAGGTGCGAATTATAAAGAAGCTATCAAGCAATTAAAATTTCGATTTGCGCGCGACGAATTACTAGTAGAAATCTATTCAAACTAGCAAAAAAGGAAATATGACTCTAGCCAACTTATATGATAAGTTAGAGACGCAACTCAGAGCTTTGGAGACGTTGGGGGTAAAAAGTGAGATTTATGCAGCTATGTTGTATCCCCTTGTAGAGTCTTCACTACCTGAAGAAATTCTGAGGGCATGGGAGCGATCTCGCCAGCTTAAGAGAAGTATTGCACACACTGAAAATTTGGAAAATTTATTGCATTTTCTCCGAATTGAAGTTGAAAGTAAAGAGCGTCTTTAGTTGGCTCGTACAAGGTTTTCTGCTCCAGACAAAGTTGGCTCAATTACCGTCACAGCAGCTTGTACTTATGCAGGACATTCAAAGAAGAAACAGCTTGGTGTGACTAAGAAACACATAATTCTTATAAGTGCTTTAACCCGTTCAGGACCAGCGTCACGTGTACGTGACGTAACGATTCCATTCCTACCAGCCCAGCGTCCCGTATACTCGACGGGATGATTCTGCTACTACACCAGCGTCGCGTATAAGTGACATTAAAACGGAATGATTTATTTAAATTTTTAAAAGCCAGTAAATGGAACCAAGTGGTAATTGTTTTCACATGGCTTGATTCATACGTCATTTGACTTTCTTGTACTGGCGTTGGTTTCTATTTTGCGCTTCTGGTTTTGAGAGATTTATTGAAATAAACAAACTGGAAATCACGTCTCTTTATAAGTGCGCCTTTGAATTAAAGAGGCACGGGCGTTTTGTTTATTTTTGAATTTTTTTTTTATTTCGCTTTTTTGTTATTAGAATGTAGGACGTTTGTTTTCATTTTGTTATTTCCCCCCCCCCTTTTTTTTTTTTAGGAAAGTGTTTCTAGCAGGTTATCGCCGAACATTATGGAAAAACTCCAGACCAGTTGTACTTTTTTCCATTTATTTTGAAACTTAACATAAGCTTTCTTGATTTATTAAAAAGTCACATTACAACATTATTACAGAAGACTATCAGCTTTCTCGACGCGTAATGCGTCTTGCCCGCATTTCTCTGGAAAGAGCCCGCGTTTTTGCTTTTCTTACTCGATTTAATAGGTCATTATATATAAAGCCTTGAATGGTCATCATATCTAATGACACAGGCGTTATATATATTTTGGTATATAATGTATTTACATATAATGTAATTATATATAGTGTATACATTGATGTGATCAGTAACGGATATCCCGCCAGTGGGGGTCTTTCCTTAATCACTTTCCAGTCATCGTGGACGCTGTTTTCTATTTAGAAAAACAGGAAGTTTTCTAATATAAACCTGATGTTACACAGGGTTTGAGGATGAAATATTTCTGAGTGTCTTTTGAAGAAGTTTTGGGACGTGTGTTGGGGGTTTTATTCAGTTTCATTCCGTTAGCCATGGCTAAGAGACCTTACTTAAAAACTTAATAATTTGTTCAAAATCACCGGACACTCTTCCTTCCTTCCGTCTAACTGGAAGACAGTTTCCGAAAATTTACGTTGACGGAAAGGGTGGTGCTACTTTGGTAGACGATTGCATGGATATTGGCGATTTTTTTTGGCGAGCGATACGACTTATGGTAAACCCATTGCTGGGCAAGTTATTTATGGTAACCGATACTTTGTTGTCATTTTATTTAAAAAATAATGCTTTTTATTATGCATAAATTCCGTGTTTTAAATATTATTTATGACTTCTAAATAATAAAAATGAATTTAATTTT